TAAGTCATCATCAGTCAGAATCTTACATAATTCATCATATTTGCGTAAATTCTTTAGTCCCAGAATTAATTGCAGTCACTTAACTAGTTGGTCTTGAATTACAATCTGCCCTGTGTTATGCTAATCTGTGCGCTACTGAACCTCTCATTATGCCAGTAAAACCTGCCCATCCTTAAACCTCAATGCTAACGTCATACCGTCATTACATCTTAGTTGTCATAATACAGAAGTGTTGTCGTCATAGCAGTTACCTAATAGCTGTTCTTAAACAAACGTTTCGAATGAGAAACTTGGGACGTCCTTCAATGGATTAGCTTTCTGTAACTACAGAGCGTTTATGAGTGTACTTTTGTGGTAATTTGGGTGGAGATGTGCATTAGTCATGATTAAACCGTAAACAATGAGGTAACTAGTGACAAAAGACCTATAAACCGCAGATTTTTTTCTGTTTAGTTGTGCTGTTGAGGAAGTTATTGGGATGTAAGAATCAATGCTAACGTAGCTTACTTATATTTACAAATCACCAATTGTTATGCTAAAAGGGTGTGTCTACAGATTCAACGTGCGACTCCACCAAACATGCTTCTTCAGTATGGTTGAATTAGAAGAGGGCAGTGGCTCGGAGACTAGAACAGGTTGGAGAAGACCTGTGTGGTTTGTACCTAACCCGTGTTGCTATTTCCTTTGTTAACATTCGCTAACGCCTGCTAACAAGTCGTGGTTTCTGGGAGGAGTTGTCAAACTTGGACTGTTCTGCTAAATGTGCACAGAAATTGTTGTGTGAAGGATCTGTCTGTGATAGTTAGATTGTACTTCAGGAATTTTGACCATCATGATATTGAGATAACAGTGTGAGCTTGTCATGTAGGCTGGCCTGAATCACATGTGCGTTTGGGCCTATTTTGGGGTATTGACACATAGGCTGTGTCAGTGACATCAGCAAAACCCACCCTAGAATATATTAATCATAACATTTAATAGAAAAAATATTTAAATTGCTGACTCTGTCATTATTTGGAGGATCATCTGTTGTGGTTACATTGAGATCTGTAGAATGTTTACTTCTATTTTAAGTGCACTGAGTCAGCATCAAATTCATTTCAGTGCTTCTGCACACATTGTCCTTTTAAATGGAACCTGCCCTGTGTTTACCTACAAATTTACCCATAATGCTTTGTTTTTTTTATTGCTGAGCATGCATAGTGTTTACCTGACTAAAAATCATGTATCTAGGTGGTTTCTTGCACGCAACATTTAGCTCTACACCCATGCTCATTCAATTCATGTACTCACAGTAACTCTCCACCTTTTTTTGTTGTATTGTTGTTGAATGGGTTGGGTTATTATGGTATCAGCCAAGTATTTCCTAAATAATACTTTTAAGAGTTTTTTCTAATGCCGTCCATATGCTCAGAGCCAGTGCTTTTATTATCGTTGTTGCTCATGCATCTTTATTTAGTGGTGCAGAGAAAGAACACAGTGTGTTGATGTACACTAAAGGCCCTTGCACAGTGTCTCTGACGGTCAAATATCAGTACAATTGCAAGGACTTGAGCTTCAAGGCTTCCTGAATGACAATTCTGTAAGCCCTTTCTTTTCATTTAAAGATGTGGTAGAAATTGCAGCCTTGTGGTTAGCACATTTGCTCTGATGTCTGATCTGGAGAGTTTGTGACCGGCTTGTTTCATTTTCCTGTCCCATTTCTCCTCATTTCTTATAATTTCCAATCTGTCAGTGTTAAAATATAATTTGTCTGTCAGTGTTAAAAAATATTAACAACAACAGCAATTATTATTCTAATAATTACAATGGTAATGAAAATTCTAGTAATGATTATAATAATGTGAATATTACAAGAATAATTTTATGCTAATAATAGTATTAAAATACTAATACAAATAATTATTATTACTATTAAAATTCTATTTTTCATTTATTGTTAAATAATTGTCCAATAAATCTTAAAAACATTAAGACTGTATAATGCTTGATGCTTTGTTTTTATTATTATTATTATTAGTTTACAAATAATTATTAAAATTCTATTTTTCATTTATTGTTAAATAATTGTCCAATAAATCTTAAAAACATTAAAAACATTAAGAGCTTGATGCTTTGTTTTTATTATTATTATTATTAGTATTATAATAAATATTAATATTTATAATATTTAATAATAAAGTTGTTCTTGTCATCATTAATCAGATTTATTTATTTATTGTAATGATTACATCTAATAAAATGAAGAACGAAAAGAAAGTAAAAGGACAGAATAGTCTTTAAAAAGAAGTTATCTTTAATTTTATATATATATATATATATATATATATATATATATATATATATTTTTTTTATT